TTTATATTAAAAATACTTTTATAATTTTATTAAAAAGGAGTATAGGTACTCACCGATCGCAAAAGTATTTCCGACCATTGTGCCTGCTCAATTGCGAGCTAACGAGACGCGATAGATTTTTTATCCACGCGAAATGCCCCACGTTGTTGTCTCGCGGGTCCTGCACGTACAGCAAATTGACGTGCTTTTCTCTCTTCAGGTCGGTGAGCTGTATCGGGAGAACGGTTGGCGTCTTCTCTCCCTCGATGGTATACACATTGATGGATATATCGTTGAGTCGTTCGAACTTTTTAATCTGTTTCAAAATCATTGGAAACTCAATGCCTTGTAAATTTAATACTGTTGTGTAATGTCGGTACGAGGATTCCCGTTCTGAATGTCTTTCGACTGGATGTAAAGCAGCCACCACTGACCACGCGAAGCATGCATTGTCCACAGAATGCACGTTGATCACCGCTTTCTTCGATTTAATTTCTTGCGGTAAATTGATGTAACATCCCGCGTGCAAAGGATTGTATTTGTTCACGTTCACAGTCAGATTGAGTATACGCGACAACGCCCACCCGCTGTCGCGTTCCTGAAACTCTTCGAGACGTGATAAAGTAGGCTCGATAACGTGTTGCTCGTACCACTCGCGCAGATCGGACGCACGAAAGAGTTCATAGTTTCCCGTGCCGACACTTTTGTTCGCACGTTTGTCACCCGTCACAAACTCGCCGTTGAACACAGTGTTTATCTTTACACTTGCGTGTCTTTGCATGACGTTCCGCACACGATCGATCACGATGACTTCAGCGTCTTCGAGAAATTTTCGCGGTTCGATGTAATTGATATTTATCACCGCACCGGTCGATACACGGTTTTCGAACGCGGCATCGATCTCTCGCCAAACGAGTCTTTCCGCGTTATCGTCACTACTAGCGGCGCCCGCCGCGTACTCACCACCGATATGTACGAACCGTCTCTGTAATAGAGTCTTCGCACCTTCGAGTCGTGCGATTCTTGCCACTAAAGATTGTCTGTTTACGCGGCTCTCATCTGTGATTGAGAGCCGCGGACGATTGGAACGACAGTCTTCTTCGAGCTGCTCAATAAACTTCTCGCATCGCTGTTCTCATGCAAGATATTCGCCCAAGGTAGCGATTTGGTTGGATTGTTCCAACAGGTTGCGTTCCGTTTTATCGAGATGTTCCATGTTTTTGTTTTTTAATATTGTCTTTTTTAAATAACGTCACATTCTTCGATGGAGCACTTGCACGTGATTCGATCGCACGCTGAACAATATCGTTTGCCACTTTGATAGTAGTCAGACATAGCATAATGAGGCAAGAAGTAAGGGACATTATGCTCCCAATTATCATGATCATCACAGTCACGTTCAAAGGTTTTTTGAAGCATCAATAGATGGGGATGATTAGGATTATCGAGCCAAGGGCATACCCTTGGGTACATATACAAACGTATCGAATTGTTCATCACCACCAATTTGACGTATTTCCCAATACCTGTGTGAATTTTAATGTATGTTGCTTCACAATCATCGAGCAGTTCACAAAATTTAGACGCCCAATAGCGATAGTCAGCAATAGGCACAACGTCAGTACAGCGAGCTACACGTGATTCTTTCTCGCTAACGCACTCGTCCCGCAGCCGTCGATATACTTTTTTTCTCACGATAGAATTCCAGTCATATGGAGAAGAGATATCGATCACGACTCTTTGTCTAGCGAAGCGTTGACCGGTTCCGCGTATACCGAGTTCGCGATCGCGAAGAAACTGTACCGGCGATATTCGTCGCACATCCCTCAATTTCACTCCTTGATCTTCTTCACGCAAACCATTGATGATATCTGTTGTAATACATTCCATTTGTATATCACGGTCAGATTTTGGAGGCTCCACAGATTCCTCTTCAATTATCCACACCATGTTGCGCACGTTGTGTATAATGTCCCACTCGCGATAATGTTTTTTATTACTTCATGCAAGTCGGGCACATGTTGCACGGATATATTTGGAACAATGGAGTATTACGACAATCTGTGCAAAATTGAACGTTCATTACCTCGTACGGTTCGGTTACATGCTCTCGATATTTACGTATGTGCTCACCAGTGTCTGGTGCAGCGATCATACACGAATAACACAGGTTATCTGAACCATATTCAAAATAAAAATAAATTGCGCAACACTTCGTACGTTCATCTAACGCTAAAAATTCGGGACGCGACACTATTTTTTTCATAACTTCTCTACGGTTATCGTCTCTATCGCTGTTATAAGTGCTGTCCGGTGACAACGGACGATTCTCGTTGGATGAATCTGCATCCATTATTGCCTCGAAATTATTGTTTTAAAAACCGTGATAATATTTTTTTATCGTGTACAAATCGGGCACATATTACGCGGAAATATCATATACAATGATTCACGACATCTTGAACAATACCGGCCATGCGTCGTTCCGCGTCTCTCAACGAAGTGTTTTAGGCGAGCGTACATGCCGAAATTAAGGTTCCATAGAGTAACCATGCATGGAGCACATAGTGCAAGTGCACCACCCGTTGAATAATAAAAATAAATTACACAATGTCTCACACGTAGATTTAGTTCAACGATTTCCCAACGCAGCACTATTCTATCGATGACTTCTTCATGATTGTCGTCTTCGTCACTAAAATAGTCGCTGTCGTCCGTTAACTCGCGATCCATATCTGAATTATTGCCATCTCCTTTATCGTGAAAAATATTCTTCCGTATTGAATACTTGACACAAAAAAACTTTACCCGCAAATATGAACGTTCGCGTCGCGAAAGCTAGCCGAAGACTGTGATCCGCAAAATGTGGATCCATAATCATCCTGGCGACAATGAATGTTATGCGTTTGTATAATTATCGTTAGACATATTTTGTTTATACATTCCAGCAGCCGGACATCGGCGCTCGCTTTTTGTAATATGCCGCGCCATAACCGAATACCGCCGCGACGGTTAAATCGTAATCTGCAGCGGCTCTTTCTAGAAAAAACATGAAGAGGACTCCGCAACGGTTGAATCGTCATCGGTGCCAAATTTTATCAATTGTTTACCTCGGCTACTTTATCTTTAAACCGTCGTCGGACCATCGGCGCTCGCTTTTGTAGTGTGTGAGACGCCGTAACCGAATGGCGGCTCGCATGTTCTAGAAGGGTGAAATCATTGCAGAGACAAGTGTCTAACTCGCTATTTTGTTTACAGTCGCAAATCTGTGCATCGACGCGATGTTCCATCTATCGAGTAGAATTGTTTTTTAGTGCGCTACCGTAGTACGTAAAAATCCAAAAATATGTAAAAGAAAAAGAATAAAAAAATGTATTTTTTTAAATATAAATCACGACTTAATTTCTTCACATGCATTTCCATTTGAGTCGTATATGCGACGTTCGACTCGAACCACTCAGGCCACTTGAAATTTAAGGTATATCATATATCGTAAACTATGAAGCCATGCTCCGGCGACGCTCGCCTATTCGTATATCGTAAACTATGAAGCGCTCGCCTTTGTAGCGTGAGACTTCGCTGGAAGCGACTATCAGTTTACACGACCGCCATTATATTTTTCTCTGGCGACTTCAGTCTCATCGTAGCCGTGAGCCTGCTTGAACGTGTTTCGCCCGAAAATATTTTTTTCGAGGATTAGTGACGCCTTTGTGATTGTTTTTTACTTTCTTGTTTGTGATGCCTCCAAACCTTCCCCCGTATCAGGCTAAATACGTAAAATTAAGTGAAATTGTGGAAAGTGCCGAAGATTTAAATGATTTTAATTTTAATTTTAACGACTTCGATAATTTTAATTTTAACAACTTTGATGATTTTACTTTTAACAACTTTGTCGCTGCTCTCCCGCGTCTCCCGCGTCTCCCGCGTATCCCGCGGACGAACGGTGGCGGACGCGGGCTGATCCCCCGCGGGCGGCCAGTATTAAACATTAATATCGCGGATTTTTTTGATTCTGATTTTGACATTGATAACTTTGAATCTGATAGTGATAGTGAGATTCAGGAGGCAAGGTCCGCCGCTCCCCCGCGTCAGCCACCCGCGCCCCGGCTCCCAACAGTTCAGGTGGGCACGCCACCCGGTGTTCACGCGGGCGAGCGCTGCGGAACGCTCTCAACCTCCCGGCCATCGGACGCGGGCGAGCACAACCCGCGCCCCGGCTCCCAACAGTTCAAGTGGGCACGCCACCCGGTGTTTCACGCGGGCGAGCGCTGCGGAACGCTCTCGGCCTCCCGGCCATCGGACGCGGGCGGGAACAAATTTACGCCGACTTCCTCGCGTTGAGACGGATGCCGGCGGGTCGCGGCCATGGGGCCCCCCCTCGTCGAGATTGAGGTATTTTCTTTTTTGTTTCTTTTTTGTTTCTTTTACTTAAAAATTAATAACGTGGGAGCGAGAGAGAGACCGCGCTGAGGGAAAGACAACGCGAACGAGACGCGGGCGAGTCGTGTGACGTCACGCGGACCGACGTGGCCGTTGGACGCGGACCCCCATCCTCCCGCGGCGCGCCGCCGATAAAATTCCAGTAGCCGAACGGCGCCCATCGCCTTTGTATACCCCGCGCCGATAAAGTGACAACCCCCCCTCCCCCTCCGGACCACCCTCGGCGTAAAACGCGGACACCCCCCCCCCTCGGCGGTACCCTTGTCAACGATACGTTTATTAACATTTAATAAACATGTCCCGACATGCTCGCCGACCACCCCCC